GGAAGAATCTCACCAGCTAAAACACTAATAGCATACATAGTAAAACGGAGTTTCTGGACCACCAAAAGCAATCACAGATTTGAGTTTCAAAAGCATCCAAGATACTAAGGAGTCTTGTTTTTCAAGAACAACTGCAGTTTCGGTGCTGGGTTTGCCACAGATTAATTTACAACACCTGAAGCCACCAGGGTCGCTGAATGGTAGGAGGGAGAGCTCAAGGGGAGGACAGCATTTTGCAATGATCAGTGCGAGGCACGAATTGTATGAGACACGACACAGCTACAGTTGCGCTGGCCTTGAAAGAAAAAAAATGTGTCAAGAAGCAGATGGCAATTTCCAGCTACCAGTGGGTTAAAGAAATCAAAAGAGAAGGACGGATAATAACTGTGGACACAACTTGCACAAGCAGCTGTGACAACTTGTTGCTTTACATGCCTGATTCTTGCTAAAAGCCTTTGTGGATCTAGCAAACTATTGCTGGGGTGCACAAAGAGGTATTAGTACTGATACCACTGCTTAATAGGACACATATAAGCACAATCTCATATATGTTCATGTGTAGCATCCGAGGGAAAGTATGGAAGCCCTAGGTCTAACCCAAACAAGTTAGACACTTGTCATGGAAATCCCCATGTTGTGTTCCCAACTTGTGTCATATGAGAAAGCATATGGTCACTATGGCCTCTGGAGGCCCTAAAACCAAAAACTTAAAAGTAACAGATAAAACTCATGAGAGATCCTAGTTACCTCCTTTCAGTAGTATCTGCCAGAAACCCCCAAAATTGCAATAAATTATGGTGAGAAGACCTACACTTTCTTTCAGACTAGCTCATCCTTCACTACTGAATACACAGAGAACTGCAGCCCACAGATTCCCTGGATGGGCGAAGATAAGAGTAAATGACAATAAATAACAGAAATCTCTCTGCACCAAGACTTTACATAACTAGCTGTAGTTGCTGCTAATTAGAATGATTCCCATAACTCCTCGATTACATTTTCCTGCATTTTTGTTAGCTCTAGTGGCAGGATACATACTAAATTATGGAAAGCTAATTGATGAGATTTATAATTACTTATGAGGACAGACTAAGCAGTAAACAGCTATTTTCTTTAAATAAACAGCTTACATCTAGCAACCTGGTGCATTAAATAAGGTTCTTGAAGCTACATGGTTTTGTCCAGTCTGCTGTCCAACTTCTGAGTCTTTGAAATGTATAAAATATTTCCCCTCCTTTTGCTGTGGAAAAGACAAAATTGAGTAATTAATTTTGTATGTTGGACAGCAATTTCTATATTTTCCTCCCATCTGTTATCGGATATAACAAGGATTCACTTTTTTAAAAAAAAAACGGACTGTGTTTTAATAGAGCAAATGTATTATGTGCTACCTAATTCATGTCACATACTGTGCCAATACCAACTAGAGAAAGACTGTGTATGGAAAGTGGTTAAACTATTTTAATCCATCTCGTGACAGGACTCAGCAAATGGAAGGAAGAGAAAGACCACAGGCACGACTGCGTAGAGCTCACAGGCCACCATTTGATATGAATGTAATTTTGAGAGTCAATAGAGCTGTGGCACTTGTAATTCTGCTATCCCATACAACTGCAAGCCCTCTTCACTTTGATTAATAACTGAGCAGATCTCTTCAAATTGTAAAACTTGTGGCAGCAATTTTTTACAGTGACTAGTAAACTTCAACATTAGGCTAGCAGGCACTGGCCAAATTGTTCAAGCTCTCTACATCTGTTATTTCATGAACATAGTCACACCCCAACAAGAAGATGTTATCTGGCCTTACACTGCCTTCAGAGGAAACAAGAATTTGGAGCAAGGCAAATACCAGCAAAGAAGGTTGCCAAGAGTGTCCTAGAGAAGTTTCTTTTAAAAATAAGATTACATTAGGGAGTGGTAACATTACTCATATCAGCTGAAAGAATAAATGTCTTGTGATAAAACAGCCCATTTTAGTTCCCTCTCTCAACTAGCTTGGTTTTTGCAGTGGTACTAAAAGATGCATTTGGACAGCCCCCAGAGATGTTTCTAATGAGGCTTATGATAAACACAGCAAGATAATTCTTATTTAATGAATATGACAGCCAGAAGACATCTTAGCTACAGCAGCAACACAGCAAGTAAAAAAAACTAAAAGCATTTCAGTTATATTTTGTCATAATTTGGCAAATCCTAAATGCAAAAATCTACAGTGTTAGAGCACATGAGGAAGAAATGACCGTAAACCCAGTGGGCCTGATCTTCTTTGCCATCAAGCTAGCTTGACCACTTCTACCAAGGCCATGTCACTACAGGGTGGCTCCACCACCCTACTGCTCCCTTCTCCATCCTGTCAAGGAATTAGTCCAGGGCAATGCAGAGTAAGACCCTGAGAAGCCAAAACTCCATGTATGGCCCTCATGAGGACCACTAATATCAAGGTCAGGACTACCTCCTGTAAGGTATAGAAGCAGCATAGGAGAAGGAATTTTTTAATGGAGAGTGTGTGCATATGACTATTAGAGGAAACCCCAGCACAACTTTGGGACACACTGTGTTAGAGCAGCACACATAAACCTTTTCCCATGCTTTCTTCTCAAGCATAACTACCACATGAAGGTACCAGAAGTAGTCTTTCCTCTCCACCACCAAGAGTCAAGCCAAACGCACTTCGGGCATCTCACAAAGAGCCATCACACAATAGGCAATTGTACTTACTTTGCACAGAATCAGTTGATTCGGAGTAGCTTACACCATGAGAGCTCCTTTTCAAAAAGAACATAGTTATGTGCATGCAGAGCTTCATTTGCAATGTGCAGAAGCCTTTTAAAACACTGAAGAAGCCGCTGAAAAAAAACAAATGCCAGTTGGCCGCCTGGACAAGTTCCCCCGAGGCCGTTCCACGTGCACAGTCATTGCAATGCAACATTGGCAGCCTCTCCTCGAGAAGTTGGGAAACCAGAGGCTTTCCTTGGTGTGAAAAAAGAAAGGTCCCAAAAGGGGAAGTCTGGGACAAACATAAAGCGAAGTCGGGGAAAGAAGGAGTAGGGTAAAGAGAAGGGAGAGGGGTAAATGAAACAAGGAATGAGAAGATGGAGCAAGCCAGAAGACATTTTTCATATGGATACCCTCCATTATAATATCTGTCATGGAAAAAGGAAACAACTACAAATCATAGAGATTAAAAAAAAAACTTCCAAAGAAGTAGGGAGAGAACGAAGGTCAGGAACAGCCACTGCTCCACTGACTAAGCTCAAATTACTCCTGGAATAATGATCAGATACTAAAATTAAGAGGCAAGATATTAAAAGATGCATTTAGACAGCCCATCCTGGCCTGGAATATCAGAAAGAACTGCTGTCACCCAGGCTTATCTAATTACTCTATTCGTTTGGGGATATAGGAAAAAAATTAAATTAAAAAAAAAAAAATAGAAGCTGCTTCCAAATGCCAAATGAGTCTCAGTGCTGGAGCAGCTGGCACTCAGCCACTTTGAAAAGTCTTGACCTCCTCTTCACTTTTCTGTCATGGGTTCCCACACACAGATGCAGCAGCCTCAGCAAAGCCACTCAGTTCCTCGTTAAAAACAAAACCAAAAAATAAAATAAAATAAAATAAAATAAAATAAAATAAAATAATAAAACAAAACAAAATAAAACAAAACAAAATAAAATAAAACAAACGATACTCGAGTCAGACTAATGAAACAAAATATACGCGCCATCATTTTGCAGCTTGGAAGTTCTTGAGTGTGTTGAACCATTTAACTACGTAGAGACAAAGCATATTCCATGATCTGACAAGTAATAGGTAGGTTTCATATAACAGGCTATATACAATCAATATTGATGCAGCAAGAAAATTATTTAAAAAGAACAAAATAAAGAAATCACTGAATTGTTTAGTAAGGAATATTATGTAGGAGGTAAAACATCTTAGACTTTCCTAGGCCTCTATATGGGGCCTGTTCAGGTGCCAACTGTTCCACGAACTGTAGATAAGGAACTGCAATAGATAATCTGTAGCTAAAGAGCTGCAAGAGATAATCTCTGATTTATTCAGGGAACTTTCACCAAGGAACAGGTAGTGTGGGGCAACTCACAGTCACAGGTCTCCAACTGAAATCATAACTGTTTTGTAATTAAAACCAAAAACGAGCAGCAAAGCTTTCTGCTGATTCTAAAAGCTGACATATTTTTCATGGAGACAGCAGCACTTCAACCTGCAGAAATCGCCATCCTGCAGTATGGTGTGTCTAGAAGGAGGAATAACTGACGCTCATCAGCTTGCTGGAGCTAGGTGGCTCTTCAAAAAGTGAATAACGTGAAATACTTGAAGACACTCAAAACAGACAATGAGGACATCACTTGGATATCAACAGTGAACTGTGCTTTTCAAAGGAAGGAACTCCATCAGAAAGAGAATGGCTCCAGAAAAGAAACCCAAAAAGGACACAGATTCCTCCAGAGACACATTGACAAAATCCTTGTTGGGTTTCAGAGAGAACTCCAGAAGGTCTCGGTGTGACGGCACTATGGCCAGAACACTTTGATTCTGCATTCATTAGGCTTTGGGTAAGTGCTTGTTGTCAAGAAGCTGCCTTGGATGTGTTTTTTTTTTTTTTTTTTGAAAAGGCAGTGCAGTATAAAATTATTTCCTTCCAAATATCTGTAGCCATTACACCTACCTGTACATCCTGCAGGTTGACTGCACTTCCCACTTGGGTTAAATTCACATGCCAGTTTCACACAGTCTCTCAGGGAGCCTCAGAGTTAGAGAAAGACACCATGACCTCCAGCCAAGCCTGAGAGCCAAGCGAGAAGAAAGGCCATTGCCCAGCCCCAGGCAGGCTGGGCAGGGGCCACAGGGCAGCTCGTGCACGGTCACCGTTACAAGACCTGGGCAAATCAAATGTTCCTGAATGCGCAAAATACCAAGTAGGAGACAATTAAAAAAAAAAAGAAGGAAAGGAAAAGGGAGCGGCTGGTAGCCGGCAGTACCTGCGAATGGCCCACATGGCTCTGCTGGGCACGGAGAGGCCGCCGGAGCGCGGCTCGCCGGGCGCCGCGGCGTGGCAGCGTCTCGTCTTTACTTCACGGGCTTACTCATCCAAAGCACTGCATGCTAGGCAACCAGCACACCTGACTTCAGCCAGTTTTTTATTTACTCCAAAACATGAAGCCTCTATGTGCTGGAAAGACAGAAAGACAGAATTTATCGGTTTCTAACTAGAGACCAGAAGAGGAGCCCTCTGGTGCAAAAGGTGCTCTCCAAAGCCCAGCGTGACGGGGAGAGGAGTGTGGAAGAACCCACTGTAATTCTAAACTGGTCCATTTCTGCACCAAAAAAGTAGTTTTCTGCCTTGTTTAAACAATATCAACGAAAAAAGAATCTGGAAAAATGACAGGCTGGAGGAAGGAACTGAAGGACATGAGGTTTAGCAGCACACAGAAGGCTGCAGGTTTTCTGTTGCCCCTTAAAAATGAACCATAAAATCTTGAGCACCACAAATAGATAGCAAAGCGCGTGATACACACCATTAGCACAGATATTTAGAGCCAGCACATCTGGACCACAGAGCCTCATTCCTGCAAGCTAAATACACTGCTAAGGCTGGGCTACTGGATGTCACTGAAGCAAGGAAAAGCCTTGAAGAGGCTGCTAGAACGTGACCCTAAGGAGAGGGAGATACTGAGAGGAGGCACAGAAAGGAGGAATGCACAGGGTTTCCCCTGATTAATTAGAATTTCTGTTACCTTCGGTCAGTCAGACAGCTCCTGGAACACCTGTAAGCCTGACGCTCTGTAAACATGAGCACGAGTGTCCTGGCAGTTAGGCCCCGGAAAATTCCTCACTGGCCACTTGCCCACTGTTTACATGATTAGGAATTATTTATCTAGCCAGACCAGAAGAAATCCTCTCCCAATCTGTTTTCCCTGCCCTCCAATTGCTGCTGCTGCAAAAGGAGCCAGAGGCGGAGGCCTGAGTTTTGGTCCAAACCCTGCTAGGATCCGGAGGGAAGACAGGGCACACAGAAAGCAGGCATAATTACTCCTGAGACTAAGTGGGTGAGTGATACAGTCTTGAAAGTATTTGATTTTTCCTCCAGTGACTGCTGATAGTTACTAATTATTCCAGTTATTCCAAAACTGACTGGATACCTCCCCTTTTTTTATATAAGGACAGAAACGATCAAACTCAATTTTACTATTACATTCCTATCATGTTTTGATGACTCTCGTCGTGACTGAATAATTACGTAGATGCTGCTAATGGAAGACTTTAAGTCACAGGATTTCTTAGATGTTGATGCCTTCAGTGAAAAGTCATAGGGAAAAGTTGTCAGACTTACCAGAGCTCTCCGTAAGTGAGAAACATTTAATAATCTGGTCTGCTTACCCAGCAAAAGTATCAGGCAGGGACAAAGTAACAAAAAGATATATAGAATATGTATATAACGAAAAGGTATATAGAATAGGTATATAACAAAAAGGTCTATAAAATGAAATCTTGATGTCTTCCAAATTTGTCAAACATGCCATGTAATTCAGCAGGGTAAGACTATGTCCCACTGTGCTATATAAAAACAGTAATATATTTTGTACCTACAGGTGGTAACACTTGAAAACAGCAGCAAATATAGAAAGTGACTTACAGTTTGAGTCCATTGCAGGACAGGGAAAAGAAGTCGTAAACCAAGCACACGCCAAACACGGTGACTCCGGTTTCTTTCACCAGCATTGCACAGGTCCCAAGAAATAAACTAAGCAGCAAAAAGAATGGGGAGGCAGTGGGAGGGAAATGTTCCCCAACATAAAGCTGATCCACGCTCCTGAAAAACAGATGTGAGATAAACTCTTCAACTATTAGTTTCATATTTACTGCATTCACACAAATACTGAGGCACTTTTCCTTAATTTCTTAAGGCTATGATAATAAGTGATGTGAATAATCTACTGTTCACAGAGAAATGAAAGAAAAGTTTTAGGCACTAAGGCATAATTAACAGAGATGCAACAAGATTCTGAGAAGGAAAAAAACAAGCAAAGAAGAGGAAGGCAGAATAAGTAGAAAGACAGAAGGGACAGAAAAACAGCTGCTTTCCATCATATAGAACACACGTGCTTAGATTTACTTATGTGGCAATATGCACCATACAAGTAAAAATCCCTTTATCCCACTCGTGCTTCTCTTGGTTAGATGTGTCCTAATCATTACAAAACTCATCACTAAATTGTATGAGAAGGAAGAAGTAAAGAAAGAAAAGGAAAGAATCAAAGACAAACAAAAACAAAGTAACAAACCCCACAGGGGTGACAAGCAATTTTCCTCCTTTGAAACCTTCTGATAAACAGTGTTAGAGATATACATATATATGTATGGGGGGGAGGTGTATATATATATATATATATATGTATATATATCTCTAACACCCTAGGAAGGGTATAAGGGGCATTATTTTTCCATGCAACCATGTTGACACTGTGCAATTCCTAAATGAAGTAACTCTATGAAAGGATCTGAAATGCCATGTACCACATTAAAGCTACATCTTAATTTATACCTTTTCAGTTACAGTTTTAGGATGCATACCAGTGAACAGAACAGTGGTTTTGAACTGAAAAGAACCACTGTGATAACCCTCATGTTCTCACAGTTCTGACGAGACAGGATATTTCAGAGTCCCATAGTCACAACATGTATTTTGAAAGCAGATGTGTTACTGTTCTTCACTCCAGGCATATAATTTGCCTGTAGTTGAAACATTTCTTTATAATTTTAGGCCCAGCTCCACAAACCCGTTGCATCGCCAGTTAAAAATATCAGCAGACAAGGGCATCTCAAACATTGGGTTCCCTTCTCGTGTTTGTTCAGTTTTACAAGCAATACTTATTTGGCACGCGAGGGGAAGCGGGAACCAGAGCACTTCAACACACTACAGTACTGGGCAAAGCAACTCTGTCAACGTTAACCAAAACTGACAGATTATTCTCGTCAAGCCAGAGCATCTCATCATATAACAAACTTAGATCCATACCTATTATAGGAGAGAAAAGCCAACAGAAAGAGTAGGCAGGCCAAGACATCTGCTCTGCCTACAATACCTGTTACCTAAGAGGAAGAGAAGCACACAGATGTAAAAGCAGGCATTAAAAAGACAGCTATATTCAGTATCTGTTGCAATGATTCATGCCAACTGGTTGTATCAAGGGTTATTTTTTTTTTAAGTGTTATCTTCCCTCATATTGAAACATTACTTGGCTAGTGTAGGATATGCTGTTTTGTCTGCTGCATTTCCCCCTTGATAAAACAAACGAGTAATCCAACAATTAAGTCATTCTTTATGCTATTTTTAAGATACTAATAAAATTACACAGAGCGATTCCATTTGGGAAAGAATCTGTTTTTATTTTACATAATAAGGCTCAAATGAGATACGTCTTAACTCCCAGAACTGAGATATGTTAAAGACTATGAAAGAACAAGTCTTTGGAGTAGATGTAAGATATAGGAAAGACTTACTAATTAATATTTTAACAAGCTTCTCATTAAAAAGTAATAGAGTGCTATATAATTTATTCTTCCTGTATTTTTTCTGAACTATCTATTTTAGGAGAGTTTGTCTTGCTACTAATTGATGAATTCTTTTATGTAAGAAATATAATACTGAACAAGAACATATAGACATTCTTATTACGAAATATTTCAATATTTCATGTCATAAAGATTTAGAAGTTGTACACAGAGCAAACAAAAGGCCCTTTGAAATTTTGCCTCTTTTGAGATTACACAATTAAGCTATCCTCAGCGCTCTGGCATTTGCTTTAACCTTTTTAAGTTCTGACCTAGACAAAAACAAATTCAAAGGGTGCCTCTTCTGAAACCTCCCATGTGTTATAATGCTGTATTATCCAAAGGACTCTTGCTGATTAATTCACACAAGACAGCGCAGGGAGTAACTGTAAAGCTCAGGGCTTTTCCTTATTTAGGTAATCTCTCCTCAAAAGTTCTCAGCCAGGGGAGTCATTTCACTCACTAATTTAAAAAGGATTGTAACAAGACACTATGATGGCAGTAGTCTCTTAGGTTAAAAATGCATTTATTTTTAAAGGAGAGATAGCTAGACATCACATGTTCTTTTCAGAGACAGTAAGACTCTCCTTTATCTACAAAAGTAACTCTCAAAGCTACTAACAGACTGTACTTTTGGAATGACTAAGTCTTTGAATATTTTCTTCTAATAAAAAGAATAAAGAATAAAAAGATAATACAAAATTAAAATATAAACAGATATAATAAAAAGAAAAGAGCCCTATATGAGCTATTGCACTGTAAACTTGCCATGCTTTTCTATTAAACTAACAGCTTTTTCGGAGGATAATATTCCTAGCTTTTAATTGAGAGCAATATAAATTAATCCATGGGTCATATCACATCTAAGCGATCTTGTCCACAATACACACTAATGCTCCCCTTGCTTTTTCTCCCTTAAACTGAGGACTACGGAGACGGAGTCAAGGCGTGAAACACTGTCTCAGCAGGAGCTGGCTGCCTCACCAAGCGCTTCGGTTTGGAGAGACAGTTGGACTCTGCACTTTTGTCATCCAAATAACTGCCCATTCCCTCCTAGCATCACTGATGGGGACTGTCGACTAGAATTTAGCACCAGAGCAGAGAAATGGCAAGTATTAATACACTCCTTTTTTTTTCAGTGATTCCTAACAATTATTTAAAATAGAGCATGCTTTCACCTTTGACTCTCTAAGCAAATATCACATGTTCCACATTCTGTAAGTTTCCAAGTTTGTTTGTTTTTTTTATAGTATACATATATTTTTAGCCTCTCTGTCACATACTTACAGCCTCGGTGTGAATGGGATGCACAGCAAAGAGCAGTGCTGTGACAAAAGCAAGGCGACAGTCCTTGAACACGGCTTTGTCACAAGTGTACATCAGCACAAGAGTCACCAGACAGTGTAAAATTACATTCACTGCGTGGAAGTAGAAGGGGTTCATTCCAGCCAATAATATGTTTAGCCTGTAAGAAAACAAAATAGAACCATAACTCGACCTTGTAATGGCAGGACAACTTTCAAATACTCCGTCTTCCTTTTTTTGCCTTGTTTGCAGTCTTCTAATGCAAGTGCTCTTAAACTAATTAGGGAAAATTACTCTGAACTACTGGTTTATCTGATTAAAAAGAAACCACTTCCCCAGTTCTCCTTTTAAAATACGTGGCTGAATTTGGCAAACTCCACGACACGGAGATGGGAGAGGCTCGTGCTGTCCCATTGAGTTTACTGCTGTTAAGCTATATTTGTGCTTCTGTGGCAGGCAATAACACAGCCCAGTGTTAGAAGCGCCGCACTTGTCCTACTTGTCCTATTTCTCTGCTGGCACCTCGCGCAGCAGCTTCAGCCACGTGGCAGCTTTACAACACGGGTAGTTATTTTCTGCCATGGAATAGATGGTTTGCTCGTGAACACCAAGGATTCAGCAGAGCGCTGGAGCATATGCCTGAAGTTACAGGCACATTTATTCCCGTTTAACTTTCTAAACACTTTCACGTACTGAAGGCTAAGCATTTATCCAAGTGCTTTACTGAAATCGGGTCTATACAACCAAGCTGCTTTAATAGTCAGCATCAGTTTTACGGTAAGTATAGCGATGACTTAGGCTGGCTAACATCTCTTCAGGCTCAATCTTGATGAGACAATTAGGGTTCATTATTTGTGGCTGCCATAAGAAGAAAATAAACAAGTAACTGTTACAACATTTAATCCACAACATGCATTCACACATTTTTGTGGTCGCTGTTTTTTACAGCCAACTTGCTTAACAGCTGCTGACAGGCTTTGCTTTAGGAGCAGTGGAAGATAACTTGTCTCTTTTAGAATTAACCACAGCTGTATACTGGGACAAATCTCTATATACTTGAAGTCTCTACATAAGGAAGACTTCATATACGAACACAGAAATTGGGACTATTAATGCTAAAGCACGCTTAAAAGAAAAATAAATACAACCAGTAAAGAAGATCAATGCAATTATTTGGCATGTAGATTTAAGCACCTAGGCGGAATAGCAACCCCTCCTCCCATTGTTACTTGGGTTTCAGCTTTGCCCCCATGCACGTGGTTCAGCGGCAGTGCCACTGAGTGGTTGCCACTCCGCAAACAGCCCCATTTTTGCAAGCCCACGGAGGTCCGTGAGGGCCGGACAACATTTGCTCTTTATAAACACAGGAGTCTCGCTGTGCGCTCCGGTTGTTCCCCTGCAGTATCTGCGGAGGCAATAGCTGGAAGTGGCGGAATTTGGGGGAAGCGCCGTTTTAGCAAGACTTGGCCTTTCATGTGGAAGCACAGGTTGACGCAACTGCATTGACAAGACATCAGTCTGCATGATTCAAGAATATTTGAAGGGTTTTTATTATTATTTGCCTTTTCTCCTGCAAACCACTCCAGCTCTGCAGCACACATCACTTTCCCTCATTTCTACCAGAACCAGATCATAAAAACACGACAAATGACAGGAACAGATGCCCAGGCAAAGCTTCAGCTATAAATACGCCACAGCAGCAGGAACCCCCAGGCCTAAATCTTGGTTTCAGAGCACCCCTCTGGGGTGAGGGGGCAGCACAGGCCACCCTGCCCAAAAAGGGGTCAAGCTGCTCCAAATGACAGTCTAAACAAAATTCTCATCCGGAGGCACCCGCAGATGTGCACAGCAGCAAGGACCACCTGCAAGACCAGTTCACAGCAGTGAGGGCTGCCAGCAAGACCAGTTCTTGATACAAACTAATTGTTTCTGGCTGTAAATCAGCTGGATCATGTAAATCATCTGTCTACCTGGATCATGTCCGAACATACTTCCCATCTGGCAAAAGAGGCCTAAGAGCAAGAATCAGGACCTCATAGGAAGTCACCCCTCCTGTGACCCTCCCCTCAGCTCTCCCCATTAGGGCAGCGAACCCAAAGGTGGGCTGTGCTCTTCATGCCCCTTCTTGGCCTCTAAGAGGCCAGAATTTCCTCTTGCAAAGTACTGACAACAGCTATGTAAAAGCACCAGCCTCGCCACACGGCTTTTCCCCCGTGTATTCTTTTTAAGAAAAAGCAGAGCGAAACACTAACAAAACACAAACTGAACACCGTTGTGATATTAGAACAGGCCTTCTGGCAGCAGAGAGCAAAACCTGTGCACGAGCATGCCCCTGTGTGTGTTTTGAGTACATCCTTGGTGGTCCGTAACCATTAAATGCGAATGTGTGCAGGTGCCACATTCGCAGCAGTCTTTTTTTTCCTTTCCTTTTTTTTTTTTTTCTTTTTGCTGCGGCAGCTCTTTGTCATAAGAAATTAGGGCAAATGGCAATGAAGGAAACATTCCTTTGTCCTGAAACAATCCCAGGAGAATGATTGTGAAATGTTAACAGTGACTGAGTTTATTATACGGCAAACAGTGGTGAGCAAATCTAGGGCTCCAAGCAGCTCTAATCCGAGTCACAAGAATGTCACCAAGCTCCCCAGCACGCTCAGCCACCCCAAGGGAAAAAAGGCAGCGTGTTATGGAAAGTCAAATTCACTCCAAAGCAGAGCAGCAATAAAGCTCGTTCTGCACAGAGCAGTGAGGTTATTTGCAGTAAGCAAATCAACCAAAAAGACCCATCCCTTCTTAAATTTTAATACCCTTGCAGAGATGCAACCTTTGCTATGTTTATCGGTATCAATGTTGTTAGCAGAGTCTTGCAGTAGCAACACACAGTTATGGCTCAGCAAACAGAGCAGGAAGAATGGAGACAGGAATATCAAAATTAGCCATCAATAAGAAGTGGCAATTCTCCAATACAGTGTTCATAGCACTCTGCCATGGAAGGGACATTTGCTGATATTCTCTGAACTGGCCCACAGGTGCCCAAAAGGCACCAAAGCTATTATCTTCTCTAACATGCAGCAAGAGAACCTTAGTCATTTCTGTACGAAGAGTGTAACATCCATGTGTATTGAAGAACGACCTGTTAGAAAGATATAAACATTGCAGCCTTGGAAGAGAGCTCAACTAGGAAAACACATGCTTTGGGCTGACCAGACTTCCTGAACTGTCTGTCAAGCCAGAAAGGTGCCTGCAAATAGTAGCCTAACTCTACGAATGAAACAAGTGACCACAGTCGTAGGAGGAGCTCATGTGTGGGTCTAGGGGAGAGCAAGAAACCTGAATGGGTCCTTCCTGCCTCTGCAGCAAAAGCTTAGAAACGGTTGAAGTAACTGGCAACACAGCATATGATCCTTCACTGCCTGGCACAAGTGTTTTACAGTGCAGTTAAATAGGAAAGAAATTGCAGATAAAAACTGCACCCACGCGCATGGTTGCATCCTGTAGTCAGAAAGCATCCCTGGAGGGAAACAGTGTGCTAGGGCTGCAGGGAAGTGGAGAATGCAAAGGTCCTCAAAAGCCCCCAGGGAAAAGCATGGAAGAGCAAGGATACCAAGAACAGTCTCTCGATGCTAGGAAATATCTCAGGCGTTTTCCATTACAGCTGCATCACCTAAACCATCATCAGTAGGAAAAAAAAACATCAGAAACAAGAGCAAGGAGCACTGTGCCCCTCTGGAGAAATGAGCTGTGGCAGCACCACGGTTTGCAGCATCACACCCAAGCCCAGCACTGCCAAAACTACCTACCAAAGCAGGAGATATACCAAGAGAAGAGGTGCAGGCCTTACCACAGGAAGGCTTGCAGTTTGTGAAGGCTAAGAAAAGATGACTTTTATACGCATGCCCCACTAAGCACTTCCCCTGTATCCACAGAGCTGAAGCTGCAGCGTTTGCAGAGCTGGACCCTGCACTCATCTACTCTTGAGCAAAGGGCATCAACTCTTCCTTCAGACAAGTCACACAGGGACACATGCCCTTGGGTTTTCACCTAAAAAGCCCTGGAAACCAATGAGATTCATCAACTTCACCCTCACAGAGCCAGAACCAAAGGGGACCATGCCGCAAGAGTAAGGCCCCACAAGCCAAATCCATTTTTAAAACCCAGAGCCAGTTTTGTTATATAATCACCAGCACCCCAGGCCCCAATATACTGCTTTTTATCCACTAATGCGCACAAAGACTCATTCAACCTTTTATAAGACCTCTTATGATTTAATAGTACTGTAAACCATAATTGGAGAGTTTCTCTTTTTATAGACCTTGTTATTATCCTTGGGCAGCTCTTGTTTAGCGTAATCTGTTTTATTATTTTCAACAGACTAACAAAAACAAAACATGTTATGAAATAGAAATGCTCAGCATAATAATGATAATCTGTTACAGCGAGTAACACTTAATGGAAATGCTCAGAGCATCCCACACCTCGTAAAAACCCCACTGTTTTTACAGAGGCAGGCTCACACGCAGATTTATATGAGTTAAACTAATGCACGACGATCAGTTAAGCTTCCTGTGATCCTCCATTCCTTTTACGATTGTGTGATATGTATGTCAAAGAAAAAGTTTATGTAAACTAATGCAAGATTTCAGAGCACGGTGGGATCTTCTAATAGTCTCCATGGATGCATCTGTTGTGCGCTGGGAAAATGAGCATTTGTGCTCCAAAAATGGCCCAGCTGCAGCAGTGACAACAATGGTTACGTTTCTATATGGAAACTACTCAAAGATTAATGAAAAATCTATAGCAGTAAAAAGAAAATAAGCCCCATTTGCACCAATGTTTAGATGACGGCTAGCACAAGCACAGCAAAGCTCTCCTGGTGTAGCAGTACTTTGGGCTGGCAGCCTTTTCACAGGACAGCAGCATGTGGTTTTATGAATATGCCAGAATTAAATAGCAAATGAGGCTTAAATTGTTTGTTACTTAATCATATGATGGGGATGGATAAGAAGACAGAGGTGTGTCAACTCCCAGGCTAGGGTAATTCCCTTAGAGCACGAGAGTCATCACTTGCAAGAGCACCCATCTACTAAGGGCTGGGACCGCAAGCTGCTTATGGCTTTCCAGCATGGTTAGGAAAAGGAAAAAGAAATCACAACTAGACTGAGAAGGG